AACCTCAAGGGACTTCTCCCCTTCCTCAACACCGCTGCTTCAGACTGACTCACCGATCTGTTTCCGTATGTGTTCGTTCGGCACCGAACATTATGAGTCTTTGCCTTCGACAACACGAAGATAAAAAATAAATGATCTCAATGATCTTGATCGTGGGGAGAAACTAGTTCCACCAAATGACTCCTGGCCGCCTGCCTGCTAACTCCGTAGCGCAAGACACATCCTCGAGTTGTTCGATTATTCAATCTTAATGTTGCTGTGGTGTGCTCGAATGTAAGGCAATAGACCAACTATCCTAACTCCATGTTAGAAGTCACCAAGCCGCTTTCTTGTAAGTCCTAGACGAATTCTGGTCAAATCAATGTTAAAGATTCACCGCCACTTTAAGACAGTTCATATCTTCACGACGTGTACAACTAATTTTAATAGTAATCTCTCTTCTGCCATTCATTTCGGTGGGTTACGACGCTGCTTTGAAACTGAACTTAGTATTTTAGAATTTTCCCTAACTCCATGTTAGAAGTCACCAAGCCGCTTTCTTGTAAGTCCTAGACGAATTCTGGTCAAATCAATGTTAAAGATTCACCGCCACTTTAAGACAGTTCATATCTTCACGACGTGTACAACTAATTTTAATAGTAATCTCTCTTCTGCCATTCATTTCGGTGGGTTACGACGCTGCTTTGAAACTGAACTTAGTATTTTAGAATTTTCAGATCCACATATTTTACGTTAAGGACAATATGTCACGTTACCTTCACATATTTATCATTCCCTGTCCTGACATCCCAGTAATCACAGTTGTGAGTCAACCATCGGTCGGAACTAATTTTAATAGTAATCTCTCTTCTGCCATTCATTTCGGTGGGTTACGACGCTGCTTTGAAACTGAACTTAGTATTTTAGAATTTTCAGATCCACATATTTTACGTTAAGGACAATATGTCACGTTACCTTCACATATTTATCATTCCCTGTCCTGACATCCCAGTAATCACAGTTGTGAGTCAACCATCGGTCGGGAGTAAGAATTCTTGCTCTCTTTTGTAGGTATGGACCTTTTAATAATTTGATATCCCAGAGGTTCCCGAACTTTTATACCTTGCGCCCCCCTTAAAATATTTCATAAATTTTACGCCCCATCGCCCCTTCCAGAAAAAGTGCAAGCAAACAGATTTGACATAAAATTTAGCTACGAGTATACATTTTTTTTATAATTTAGTATATATTATTCAATGCATTTATTTTAAAAAAAACTGTAATAAAATATACGCTTCATACCTGGATTAGTGGGATGGATGTGATTGCTTCTGTGAACATGACTTATCATACCGAGGTTGGAGTTTTGAAATGACCGCTCTGAGGTCGTCTTCCAGGTTCATCGTGGAACGATACTTTGTTTTGATGGCTGTCACTGCTGAACTGCCTCAATCAAGCGAAGGATGTTAAAAATGTTTCTCCATATTTCGTTAAAAAAAGTTTTTCATACAAACAACAGCCCACCCCCCAGAAAACCACTCGCCCTCTTTCCAGGGGGGCACACCCAATACTTTGGGAACCTCTGTGATATCCAGTTCAAGGTCTACTACATGTCTGAAAATAATTTAAAATTTTCTACAACAGCGCCTAGGTACAACCCGGGCTGTAGTCTAGAGGACAAGACTTGTTCAGGTGGTCAAGGAATTTCCCACGTTTTGTGGGACCTGAAGGTTTATTACAGTGTTCCCGAAAACCCTTCCACTGACCCCTATCCTGAGCCAGATGAATCCAGTGCAAAGCAACACATAATTATCCCCTGACTTGTCTGACGTAAATCGCATACGAAGCCTCATTTGTTTTTTTTGTTTTTTTCCCATTGCAGTCGATGTTGTGACAAGAAAAGCTGTGGCAACAGGAATGAGACGCCGTCGGACCCCGTCATCATCGACAGGTAAGACAGACAGACACTTGCTGTTCCTGAAATTTCTCTGTAGCACTGATGGCGCTCACTTTACTCCTAGGAAGTGACGTTTAGTTCGAAACTGTGAGTATCAACAGAACGAGCAGCCTGCAATCTTGGGTACGAAAATATGCTGCGGATTAATGAGATAAAAGCAAAGTCTCTCGAGAAGTCTGTTCAAAGATTCATCGAGTCCATATTTCTTTAAAGCGAGTTTCATTACTTCGTTATAGAATGACAGTAGCGAAGGCTTTTTAAACGCACTCACCAGCGAAGCTGCGACGAGCCGAAACAACAAAATTCACAGAATCTACAGGGAAAAATGATACTGCGTCGAAATTATTTCGGAAAGGGAGTATTTGACGAACCGACCGAAATCCACACCAACGGCGTGCCTCAGTTCTAAATATTGCAATGAATTGTCTATTAACTTAATCTGTCTTCCCCCCACTGAAAGTTAATTCCTGTGTTATTATTTGAAGAGCGGAAGTACGCCGTGAGACTTCCGGAAACATCAGGCACCTTCCATTACGTACAGCCCTACGTTTCTGTCGTTTTAAGTAGCATCCATTTTGTCGCCACACAATTCTTAGCAGACGCAGGCCTGGCCTACAGTTCGATTAAACCCTTAAAATGGTCCAAACTAAACATATCGAGTTTTTTTTTTTTTTTTTTTTGGGGGTAACGTTAACAAATGGACAGACATGAAGTCAGTACGTGGTTCTTCCTAGAGGTAAAACCGAAATTACTATATTGAACAGGGCTTGTAGATTAATGGCATTACAAGGGAACAACTACAAAAATAACTTGTTGACAAGAAGATGGAAATCATATCCCGGAAAGTGTTTTGAGGCCGACGAAGGAAACGGAATGCTTCAACACGACCGAGGCCAATTTCGCGTGGGCTGAAGGAATTCAGGCTCGTCCTGAGCACACGGCGGAAGAGAGGGTGTACCGAAAGAAGACCTTGCAGCCACCCTCCCTTCCTGGTGGTACCAACCCCTGCGCGGACTCCCTCGGTCTTCTCGTAATTCCTTCTCCCCCCCCCCCCCCCCCCCCCGGTAGCCGTACACGGGGGACGACGACAAAATGGCGTCCCTGGGGAGAAGCCCTGGGGGCGGGAGAAGACAGACATCTTGCGGGCAGGGAAAGGCGAATTGCCCTCCCTGACAAACATGTCGGACAACTGCCAGCGTCTTCTCCCGCTGGGCTGCGGTCTTCCGAAAGGGAAAAAAATGCCCTAAGTTCTATTCCGATGGGTTACATAACACGAGTTCTAAGAAAGTTCAATAACTGTCAGGCATGCAGTGGAAAGACCACTCTTGTCAATGTGCCTCGACTTCTGAACCATCAAAATCATTAATTAAGTAAGCCCTTCGTCTGTTCCGGTGCCTTTGAAAAAATCTTCCTTCAGAAATTTCTGACATCTCCTGTCCTTCGCTCACAAGTTGCCCATTAGTACAATAGCTCCAGGGTTCGGTTCTCAGAATCTCTTTTAAAATGTTAAACTCAACCCTTTACAGGTTTTATTCTTACATCTGCTACTCTCAGTGCGTCTTTGCATTCTGTGTCCCGTGACCGCTCTGAACGATCGCATTTCTGCCTTCTTTATTTTCCTCAGTTATTCTTCCATGAACGTCCAACATTCGGATTCATACGAAAGCACGGGCGTGACCACTGAACTGTGGAATTCAAAGTCTGCATTTCCTTATCACATTTCGCTTCTTTGCGCGGCTTTAGAGGTTCGAATCACGTAACGATCATGACAATTTTGCTTTCTTATTGGGTGCTTATTTAACAACGTTTTATTGATTTCACAGGTTGTTCAGTTTCGAATAACACGAGAGATTGTTCACATAAAACAAATTAAAAACGAAATGGTTGTGACCTATTTCAGGGTACCAATCCGAATTCAGACTGAAATCAAATACAAAATCTCGCTAATGACAGACCAGATATGAACCGGATTATGTCGAATGCTAACACAGCTTCCCCTGTAGTTACTTGTAAACGTTTTTAAGTATCGTCTGAAATGAAATCCCGGACGCTGTAGTGAGCGCATCCTGGATATCAAAACGCCAACATCCGACGCGGCAACTCGGCCTACGGGATCACCTGAGGTGCTAACTATTGCAGCCCAATCTGCAAATGTACAGCACCGCAAGCGACTCTACTGACCGCCACTTTGTGGCAGATTCAGCATCAAAGCAAGAAAACTGCTTCCGGACGGTAAACTTGCTAACCGTGTGTTTACGGCGATCACTGGTTTTCGTGAACTAGAAGTTCAGTCGAATGGACCGATATTCTGCTTAGCAATCGCGATGTACGTTTCACTGGGGAACACAACCTCCAAAGCACTGAAAATCAGAATATGTTGCTGCAGACATGGAAGTGTCTCATGAGGAAATGTACGTACTAAATTCAATGCAATACAGCGTATAGCCCATTAATATTAATTCAAATTATAAGAATTTAATTAATTAATTAATTTACTTACTTCAATTAATTTTATAGGATCACTAGTTCACATAATATTGCACCTTCAACTTTAGCAAACATATGTTCCGGTTCGATGCTGGGAACTTTTATCACGAAATGTCGAAATTAAAACTCGTAATTTGAACTGGGACTAAGAACTTCTCTTGAGCTGAAAAAAAAAACCGAATTTAAATTATTTTCTCTGTCAATCTCATTCTGATGTCTGAATAAGAAAATCCGGCGAAACATCGGTTTGGCGAAGTGCTCTGTTTTCTTTGCGGTACGGACTGATTTCTTAAATAGCATTTAGACGAGCTTCGGCTTCGGGCACGTAGATGGTGGAAGGTAAATAACAGATCCAAATTCAATTGCGTCTTCACACAAAACGTGGTTTACAGTGGATCACTGCCGATCAAGATTAAACTCGCCTCACAAACTACAGTCGAAATATTCAGTATCGAAATTCGTTGCAGGTTATTGCGCCGAAACCGTGGCGAACTACCTTGCCAGCGCGCGTGGCATCTCCTCCTCAAGACACTTCGTTTTCCGGACGAGTGACTCCGTTGTGCGTCCTCAGGCTAATCACGCGGCGAGTGGCTTTGTGCGGTTTGCATTGTCCTCGGGAGAGTGGAGTCTGGGTTGGGGGAGGGGGCACTTCGCAAAAGACGAACTAGCACAGCACCAAAATTCTCATGACTATATTGAGCAATGTTTTGTAGTCACGAATCAGCGGGGGGGGGATACGGTATTTCAAAAGGACTGTGTGCGTGTGTACCCCTTTTCGGGTACGAGAACAGGCAGGTGGCTGCCGGAACCCCGCCTCCAGTTCGTCCCCCGCAACACGTTTTTTAAACAAATCTTTTCACGCCAGTTTTTAATGGCAAGGGGTTGGTATGGATTAATATTAGCCATTATCATTAATGGCTGGCGTCCTGTGGAAGCGACGGGGCGGAAAAGACACGCTCCTCCTGCGGCTGTTTTAAACAGAGCCTCAGATGAAAGAAGTGGCCTGTGGAGCCAGCGAAATGAAATTTTAAAGAAGTGTAAAGAGTTTTTTCAGAACACATCTGCAGGTTCTACTGGTAAAAAAATCCAGATCTTTCTCCGATCTTTAAAAAAAAGTGTAATGAGGTCTAATAATGAACAACGTTATACAGGGTGATTCAAAGTCCTGTGTTCAACCTTGGGAATACACTTTCAACAAACCACGCATTATTATCAAAACGAACACTCTGTATGTGTAAGACTTGAGGTTCTCACAGCGGTGAATATGAAGATTTCTGTCTTCTGGGTTATTGCGCTGTGTAGTCTGGTCGATGTTAACCAACGTTTCAGAGGTCATACTGCCTCCGTCATCAGGGCGATGAATAT